ACGTACTTTGCCATCAATGTGTCGATTTCACTCCTAAGATAGATGGCACAACCAACAAAAGAGCCTCAACTTGCAACTCTTCACTGCAACCAAGCCATGCCACCAGGGTGCACTTTGCTAGGATTGTGTTCTTTGTAGATCTTGACCATTCGTTCCCTATATGCCTTGACAAATGGAGAGTGTGGCCAAAGCGACGTCTGGACGTGTGAAGAAAAATGCTCCCACCTCTTTGACACTTGGAGAGATGGCCGATGCTCCAGAGCCTCCTGCAACACTTGCTGTAATTGCATTTGGTCACCGGTTGCAGCTCATGCTGTCCTCCAGTGGCACCCTTGGATGTGGATGAATGTAAACGAAACTCCAGAAGTTCAAAACAGAGCAAAGAAGTTCGAAGAACTGATATATAGAGAATAACATCGACGGCAGCACACACTCAGGCCCCCAACTCCAAGGGCAGATCCGGAACTTGCTCCAAACAACGAGCCTGCTCTACCGAAAAGTCTCAGCAGTGGAAGATATGAATACTGCAGTAAAGATTTCCAGCCTGCACTGGTGGTGCTTGAAGATGGAGCCTGTCAAAAAGGGTCTCATTGGCAAACAAAGTCACTGAGTCACTGTTTTCGTCCGTCTGAGGATAGATGAGACAGTGAGACCCCTGCTGAGCTGGTCCCAAAAGCAGCTGCGCTGGAGGTTGCACCAAACAATGCTCCTAGATTGCCAGGAAGGAACACCCTGCATAGATTGCCAGTCAAAGCTTCTTACTAAAAAATGACGAGAAATGCTGCAAGTGCCACTGCTATGTGGCTGCCTGGTATCTTTTCGCTCCACCGTCTGCGTTTCCTTGCCTGCACTGCTGCTGGAGGATGTCGACGCCTTGTAAAGTCGCTAGTAGAAACAAGAGGAAGACTGTTTCAAGCTGCTCTTCTCAGCTTTCTGCTGAATCAGCGCCAAACAGTCCAGCTGTACTTGCACCAAAGAGTCCTGCATCTAGCAAAATCCAAGTGATCATAAATGCCATCATCAATGGCACAAATGGTAATCCGATGCTCTTGCTGCCTCCGCTGCCAAGAGAAGGTGCCTTGAACCAATACAGTTGCTCTCAGTGCCAAACATGCAAAGTGCCTCAGAGTACTGAAGGTTGGTAAGGGAAGGACAGGAGTTGATCCCTCAGATTGCCCTCCACTTGCTCCGAAGAGAGCATTTCCTGCAGCTCTGGAGCTGCGTTGGAGCGTCATATGGAATGAAGAACGAAATGCACAATTCTTTGACAAACTCCTGCGCTGCTCGAAGAAGGACCAACCTGCAAACACATGGTGGTCTTGAGACTACACTGGGGTGCCAAAAGTTGCGCTTCTTGACTTCTAAAACATCACAAACCCTTTCCCCTTAGAATCCTACGTGCAACATGTCGACACCTCAGTTGCGGTCAGATTTCCACACCTGAAAGCCTTATAGATATTATAAATTTAAACGGGTGTGGAAATCTGACCGTGCTGTACCTGCCACGCAAAATGGACGTGTTAATCCGATCTGCTGTAGACCGCAAGTGTCATGTTGGAACAGAGTAAGAAGCGTAAACTTTAGGGTTCTTGAAGGGTGCTGTTTGTGTTTTTTAAGAAGGTGCTGGAAATAACATAAGTTTCATAATTTTGAGATCAACTCGCTTGAAACATACTATATAACTTTGATTATATGTTTTTTGGTTCTTAACTTTATAACAGGACAACGTTAATGTCGAACCTGACAACATTTCTCATGATTAGTTGTAGACACAAGGCTAATACCTAGTATAACGCAGGGTGCTGTTTGTGTTTTTAAGAAGGTGCTGGAAATAACATAAGTTCCATAATTTTGAGATCAACTCGCTTGAAACATATTATATAACTTTGATTATATGTTTTTGGTTCTTAACTTTATAACAGGACAACGTTAATGTCGAACCTCACAACATTTCTCATGATTAGTTGTAAACACAAGGCTAATACCTAGTAATAACGCACTGGGGTGCCAAAAGTTGCGCTTCTTGACTTCTAAAACATCACAAACCCTTTCCCCTTAGAATCCTACGTGCAACATGTCGACACCTCAGTTGCGGTCAGATTTCCACACCTGAAAGCCTTATAGACTTTATAAATTTAAACGGGTGTGGAAATCTGACCGTGCTGTACCTGCCACGCAAAATGGACGTGTTAATCCGATCCGCTGTAGACCGCAAGTGTCATGTTGGAACAGAGTAAGAAGCGTAAACTTTAGGGTTCTTGAAGTATAGACCAAATAAGAGCCAGCCCTTGAGGCATCTTGTTGAATACGAGCAACTCTAGCAGCCTGAAAAGGAGATGTTGCGCCACTTGCAAAAGGAGAACTTGAGCTTCCCAACCTGCATCGTCGGTAGCAGAGGTGTGGGTCGGCTGATCACCATCTGAGCTTGTGGCCCACTGGCAAAAGGAGATGCCTTTCCGGGTAGCGACAAGCCAATTTTTGCATCTCTTTACGACAAGGGTGCACGTGGCTTTGCAGCTGTTTTACCAAATGGCAAAGTACTCTTCGGCCTGTGTTGCACTTGAACCAAAGAGTGAGCCAGCTCCTGTAGAGCCGAAAAGCATGGAGAAAGCGTTTGAGCCAGTTGGAACTAGGAGCAAGGACGCTGGCCTTACTACTAGGAGCAAGAAGCTACTAGGAACAAAGGGCATCGCTACTAGGAGCAAGGACGCTACTAGGCAAACTCCACCACCGTACAAATCTCCTGTGGGTTCCGATGGTGCTGCCTGCATGCCAGTTCTAATGGATCAGTATGTGCAGAACTGCAACGTCCAGCCTTCGCTTGGAATGGTGACGTCGTCGACCCCTGAGACCTTCAATGAAAGCTGTAGGAGCAAGGACGCTATTAGGGGCTCCTGGCATCGCTACTAGGAGCAAGGACGCTACTAGGAGCTCCTGGCCATACTACTAGTAACAAGAAAGAAACTTAAGAACTGAAAGGAGCGAGAACTGTAAGAGCCCTGCCCACTTGCAAAGGGCGATGCGGCTGGAGTCTCAGTCCGATGCGCTGGCTTTGCTAGCATGGTGGTATGAATTTTGGAAGGAGACCTTGTGGCTGAAATTAGCTCTAGCCTATGTGTCAGTCCAGGATTTCGCCTGAACCGACGTTTTGGGTGTGTGTGTGTGTGTGTTGCTTGGGTAGTACAAAAAGGGCACAGTGATGCTAGCGTTGGGGAACAAGAACAAAAGTGTGGGGGCAGGTATGAGGTGAGTAGAGGAAGAAAAAGTTCTGTATCACGGGGGCAGGTCACTGTTTGTTACTTCGTGGTCGAGAAGCTGATTGGAGAGAATGTGGGCGTTTGTAAAACACCGTCGAGTGGCACCTGTCCAAAAGTTTGTTTGATCAAGGGTCACCTAAGCACAACGTCAAAGACTAACGTTGTTGTCCAAAAACATTCATCATGTCACAAATCTGAAGTCCATCTGAAATAGTGTGTGACATTTTGTGTGTGTGTTGCTGTTTATTGGTGACAGCGGCTTTGCACCATCCTGCGCAGCTTTGAAGCTATGGGTTGGATTCTGTGACATCTTGCTGTATTCAGGATACACTTTTTGTCGTATTCGCGGAGCAACCAGCTGTGTTTGGACAACAAGTGGTTGTGTTCGGAAAGCAGGTGGATGCATTTGGCAAGCAACTCTGTGTTCCCAAGGGACCTAGCTGCCTTCAACAAAAAGCACTAGGTATACTAGGTGTGCTAGAGCAAAAGAAGATTTGCGGTCGGAATTCAGAATACATTCTTTTGGGCTCTTCAAAGATGCATTCAGCAAGGGATAAGTGTGCTCAACAACACTTGGCACTTTGGCACTTGGCAAGGTCTACAATGGGTCCAGGAGAATGGGCCAAGAAAACTTGAGGAATGAAGCTTGAGTACGGAGAGGTTCATTGTGCTCACAGCACTTAGATGTGCCAACAGCACTTTGGAAATTTGGTCACAATGTGGTTCGAAGATGGTTGAGGTGGGGTGTGTGTGTGTGTCCACTCCTGTTTCCAAGGACACTACTCTAGCTATTTCT